TCTATTGCAGATCTGATTCCGGGGGGGGGACTTCCTTATAAGAGGCTAATGGGGATGTACCGTTGTTTGGGGTCGCATTATCAATAGAATCAGTAGAATGGAGTCGCACATTTTCTAATTTTGGGGGGTAAGACAGTTCTTCATATTTACGGTTAGCAAACGTGCCAGAATGTTTATAATGTAGGTGAAAAGTAAAGTGTTCTTCATTGGATATAAGGTGGATATATAAATAGAAAGTGACTAAGTTGAGATCGCGAAAATTGCATTTTTGCCCAAAAGTGACTAAGATGGGGTCTATAATGGGCCACAAAATGACTATAATGGGGGAGGTGCTCTTAGAGGCTAGCGGCACATAGACAGATACCCAACAAAAATTAACCCAAGTACCCCCCACCATCAGCTAGACTCCAACTGACTAGCACAGCTAAGGGTACTGCAATGTGCAATTGGCCACCAGGTCTGTACTTGACTATCAGGTCGTACCGTTGCACACGAAGCATCATTCGCTGAATGCACTGTGGGGCCATACACAATGGTTTCTTGAACAAACTCTCTAGAGGTTTGTGGTCACTTTCTACCAAACCTGTACAGTACTGTACTGTACCGGTGCCAAAGACAGCAGCCAACATTTCCTTTTCTATTTGAGCATAATTTCGCTCGGCACTGTTCAGTGATCTTGATGCTTAGGCTACTGGTTGGTCCCCTTGCAGCAAACAGGTAGCCAGACCATGCATAACATAACAGCTATTTTCTCCATAAACATTTCGTATCCTTCTCATTCGTCAGAGTTGCGGCCACGTTCCAATATGTCTCTTACTCAAGCCCTGAGCGGCTCACTAGGATTATTAAGAGTTGCTCTAACTTAAGCTCAAAGGGTCTCACAGACTACTCAGCGTGTCTCTAAGTTTAATCAGTATATGTCGATGTGAACAACTCTAATGACTCACGACAATGTCGATGTGAAAAACTCTAATGATTCACGACAATGTTGCTTAAGATTAACACCTTTTTATTAAACGTAGTTAATGTGCGTGTTGTTCTTTCGGCGTCCAATATAATGTTTGCAGCTTTCTTCTACATTCGCAAGACTCTTTCTTGCAATTCCTTACTGCAAGATGACCAGATTGGACTGAGGTACAACATAACTGGCTTTATAACAGCGAGATAGAAAATTAACTTGTGCCTTTGCTTGAGATAAGGACTACTATGCCTCAAAAGCCCAAGTCGTTTTGACAGCTTCTTACATAATTCATCTATGTGTGTTTCAAAGCTAAGATCTTTATCAACGGATCAAACCCAAAAGGTTGAGTTTGATCGTCCGGGTGAACGTAGTCCTGAATAGGACTGTTGTTGTTGATAGTGACTGACGTTTCGACAACCTGTGCGGTAGTCATCTTCAGAGTCAAAGTGAGTTGTATCACGTCAGTTGATGGTATTATGCTCTGGTTATTGATCTGATTGGTCAATTATGTCGCGATGTTATTGGTCGTCTGTCAGTTAAGCCGTGATGTTATTGGCTATGAAGACTCGTAATCAGTGATTGGTGCGTTTCGATCCGTCTATTGTCACAGTTAAACAGTCAAACCCAGTTACTTGTGATGCGATAATTGGTCGATGTTTGTGGCGTCAAGGCGTAGTTGTAAGATTGCGGTATATAATTCATGGTGGAAAGCCACAAGTGCACCGGTAGTATACACTTTGTGTAATATATAGTATTCTGTCTTCTCCCTAATAGCTCGTGGTAGTAACTAGTAGTTACTTGTAGTTACTAGTATTTACTGGGAGTTACTAGTAGTTGCTGGTGGTTACTAGTAGTTGTTGGTAGTTACTAGTAGTTACCAGTAGTTATCGGTAGCTACTAGTATTTACTGGTAGTTACTAGTAGTTGCTGGTGGTTACTAGTAGTTGTCGGTAGTTACTAGTAGTTATTGGTAGCTACTTTACTAGTAGTTACTGGTAGTTACTATTAGTTGTTGGCAGTTACTAGTAGTTACTATTAGTTGTCGGTAGTTACTAGTAGTTGTCGGTAGTTACTAGTGGTTACTGGTAGTTGCTAGTACTAGAGTTATCCGTAGTTAAAAGTAGTTACTGGTAGTTTCTGGTAGTTGTCGGTAGTTACTAGTAGTTGCTTACAATTATTGCTAGTTACTAGTAGTTATCGGTATTTACTGGTAGTTACTAGTAGTTGCTGGTGTTTACTGGTAGTTGTCGGTAGTTACTAGTAGTTACTTGTAGTTATTGGTAGTTACTAGTAGTTACTATGGTTACTAGTAGTTGCTGATGGTTACTAGTAGTTGTCGGTAGTTACTAGTAGTTACTTGTAGTTATCGGTAACTATTATTAGTTACTGATGGTTACTAGTAGTTGCGGGTAGTTACTGGTAGTTGTCGGTAGTTACTAATAGTTAATTGTAGTTATTGGTAGCTACTAGTAGTTGCTGGTAGTTACTAGTAGTTCTCGGTAGTTACTAGTAGTTACTTGTAGTTATTGGTAGTTACTAGTAGTTACTGGTAGTTACTAGTAGTTCTCGGTAGTTACTAGTAGTTACTGGTAGTTATTAGTAGTTATCGGTAGTTACTAGTACTTATGGGTAGCTACCAGTAGTTGTCGGTAGTTACTGGTAGTTGTGGGAAGTTACAAGTAGTTACTAGTAGTTGTCGGCAGTTACTTGTAGTTATTGGTAGTTACTAGTACTTACTAGTAGTTACTGGTAGTTGTCAGTAATTACTGGTAGTTAATTGTAGTTATTGGTAGTGATTTCTTATATTATGTGCATCTTTTTCAACATTCTTCAACTACCGACAACTACTAGTAACTACCAACCACTACCAGTAACTACTAGTACCTACCGACAACTACTTGTAACTACCAGTAACTACCGACAACTACCAGTAACTACCACCAACTACTAGTAACTGCTATTAACTACCGAGAACTATTAGTAATTAACATTAACTACCGACAACTACTAGTAACTACTGACAGCTACCAGTAAGTGCCTGTAATTACCACTAACTACTAGTAACTACCGGCAACTACCAGTAACCACCACCAACCATTAGTAACTACTAGTAACTACCAGCAACTACTAGTAAATACCAATAACTACTAGCAACTAACAGTAACTACCGACAACTACTAGTATATGTACTGATAATTACTAGTAATTATCAGTAACTACCGACAACTGCTAGTAACTACCAATAACTACTTGTAACTACTAGTAACTATCAGTAACTATCGACAACTACTAGTAGCTACAAGTAATTACCATTAACTACCGACAACTACTGGTAACTGCTAATAACTACAAGTAACAGCCGAAAACTACTAGTAACTACTAGTAACTAAGGGGAACTACCAGTAACTACCACCAAAACTACCAGCAAATACTAGTAACTACCAGTACCATAACTAACCATAACTACCATGCCTTGTGGTTAAAGTGCTGGAGAAACTTATCGCAAAGCATATTTCAGTCTTCGTTGATCAGCATAACCTACTAAGTGTCCACCAATATGGTTTTAGAACGGGATTATCATGCACATCTCAACTGATTCATCTGTTCCATACCTGGGCCTCAGCGTTAGACAATGGAAAAACAACTGACGTTGTGTTTTTAGACTTTGCGAAGGCTTTTGATTCGGTACCTCACAAACGTCTTATTCATAGAGTCAGTCAATATGGTATACAAGGACAAATTCTCAATTGGCTGTGTGACTTCCTTTCGAATAGACGCCAGCGGGTCGTTATTGACCGTTCCACCTCCAGCTGGGCTACAGTACTTTCAGGGATTCCCCAAGGGAGTATTCTTGGGCCTCTCCTGTTTTTACTCTACGTAAATGAAATCCCCGAATGTATTCCTTGTCCTAGTGATATGTTTGCAGATGATACTTTGCTCCACAACTCAGCACCCGTCAATGAAGTCTCAATTCCAATCCAAGCTGGTTTACTCTGTATGTCCAACTGGTGCAGGCAGTGGCTTTTAAAGGTGTGTGAAGCTAAATGCAAGTGCATGAGAATAACAAGATCTAAGGTCAATGGACAGTGTTCGTATTCCATCAACTCTTTACCCCTGGAACAAGTAGTTACCCACAAGCATCTGGGTGTAACATTCTCATCTGATCTATCTTGGAAACATCATGTCCTTGCAATAGCTGCTAAAGCCAACAGGATCTTGGGTCTACTTAAACGCACATTTGGCAGGTGCTCTGAAGCAATAATAACTGGATACAAAACAATGGTTCGTCTTATCATCGAATACGCATGTCCCGTTTGGAATCCACATCAAGCCTACCTGTCAGACAAACTTGAAAGAATTCAAAGAAATGTCTCACGCTGGATTCTTGGTGGACCTATTGATTATACCGAACGTCTGCAATACCTTGGTTGGATGGAACTTAAGTCCCGTAGGGAATATCTATCGATAATTCAATTATTTAAGTTCATTAATGGTTTCTCGAGAGTTAAGCTTGACAATTATTTATCTTTCTCTCGTGCTAGCACTAGATCAAGAAATAGTAGGAAGATTTGGAAACCTTTTTCAAGAACTAATATTTTAAAATTCTCTTTCTGGCATAGATATATAGATAAATGGAACTCGTTACCAGATTCTCTAATATGTGCCGATTCATTGTCAAAATTTAAAAAGGGCTTAAGAGAACATTTTTTAACTAGTACGTAATGAACATAAAATTGTTGCGATTGCATATTTAATTTGGTAATTAGATAATTTTAATAACTCCATTATTAATAGATATATTTTAGTGATATCTTTTACATTTCTCCTTACATTATAATTAACAATTATTCCACGAGGGCGCGTTGGATATGAGATGATAGATAGCCAACGAGGCACGTAGGGCCGAGTTGGCTATAATCATCTCATATCCAACAAGCGCGAGTGGAATAATTGTTTTATTAAAAACGCCCACAAAATCTCGATGAATCTCCCCGACTAGAACAAACCGGAAAAGACAAGGGACTTCCGCTATTCACATGTCACACGTCTATCAAAACTGTCAACGCGCGAACGGACTCGCCTGGACTGCATGAATGAAAAATCAAAACATTGCAGCGATGAACATTAATTTTTTAAAAACTCATCAGGATTCTAGGATTTTACACAGCAGGACAGCTAAAAAAACCTGGCAGATAATGTGAAGGAAAAGAATTTTTAAGTGACAGCCGTCGAAATTACTGTGAATTTGGACTTTTCGGTGCAGTTACAAAAGTAAGAACAACGGAGAAAAACTATTACCTCGGTCGCTTGTTATGAAGTTGTTTGAAGCCAGAAGCTGGTTTTGCTGCACGAGAAAAGAAGCTATACTGCCGCCTCGATTGCTCTAGTGAATGGCTGCATAGCCTGTATTTGTAGCTGGTTACTTGTGATTTATATTCTTGATGTCGGATAAACAAGCCGCAGTTATCTATCGGCGAGTGACTCGATCGGCGAATGGCTTCGCGATCATGAAGAAACAACACTTGTCTTCTTTCGTAGCTGGTCAAGGTACTTTAGTTCCATGTGTTTTCATGTGTTTTTCGACAAACTTTCAAACAAGCTCTTGTGGCTTTTTTGTTTGTTTTTGTCTTTTTTCTTTCGATGCATTTCTAGCATTCTAAGAAATGAATTAAAACGATTTGCTTCGGGCACCGTTCCATCCTTCGCGAAAAAAAATCTCAGCTAGCTTCCAATTTTAAACTGACGCGTACGCCGACCATATATGGAGAGCATGGTATAATAGCTCATATACCATAACGGCTAAGCCAATCAAAATGCTAGAATTGCATTATCCAATGATTCAGTTTTTAATAATAGTTTTTATCTGACTTATATTTCCTTAATAGCTTTGTAGATATTTTTAGGGGGTCATCTTACATGAGGATTCAGTTCCTCCAAAAGGAGGGCATTTTGCATGCGCATGCGTGAATCCGCTGAACGACAATAGCGTGGACGCATTAAATCTAATGGCGGGAAATCGAAAACTCGCGCGTAAAGTTACAGTCCTTTTAAAAGCCATTTCGTTGGTGCTTTGAATACCGTACTTTCCTACAATCGGACGTTTTCTACGCGGGTTTTCACTTTTAGATTTTTCAGCAGTAGGTTTTCTTGGCCTTTTAAAGACTTTCAAGACTCAACGCCAAAAGGTCATGTTCCTGTATAAGTCTGATTTTCACTGCAAAGCAATGCATTTCTATGGTTTGATTTCCGAACTCGCGGTTTTACTTATCAGGGAGGAAATGCATCGTAGCAATGTTCAGCTGTTTTAAGACAAAAAGCGAAAAAAATATTACTACGCGAGGTTTATTTATTAGCGCCATGTCTCGTGTTAAACTGATCGCAGAGACACGCGCTTATATATGCCACAAAACATGAAATCTATGGGGTTTTTACAGTTTTTCGAAAGTTTTCGCGGAAAAATTTATAAAAAATATTCTATAGGAAATGAAGAATGGATTGAGTTTGAGACAGTAACAATTACAGGTGATTATGTAGTACATAATCACTTTAGCATTTCATAAGCTCAGTTGCAGACAAAACGAATTCACATACTTCGAAAAAACGAAAAGTACTTTTATTTTTCTTTAACTCTAAAAGATACAGAGATTTTCCTAAGCTACTATTTTGAAGCGACTCTTGAGTAACAGCTCCTGTGTTCCACAATCGATTTCTTGTTATTAATTTATATTTGATGACAGTAGTGATCCATTCAAAACAGAGAATGGCCATCACTCCATAAATCTAACTGACGATGTTGTTCACCTTCAAAGCCTGTTTAAACGTAAGATAGGAAGTTTGTTAAAGGGTGCATATAATGCTGTTTCCTCAAAAAATAAACACTTCTGCTAAAGGATCCAAATGAGCTGGGATGCGACAACAAACATGAAACAAATGGATGGATGAATTTGTCTATTATTAATGTTTCTGTTGAGAGCTTTTTACCGTATCCAGATGAACCCCTTATGTCAGTTGTACATCATGGAAGAATTATCAAACAGAAACTGATGCATTAAACAAGAATGTGGTTCATTACAGAGGAGAAGCTGGTCTCAGTCAACATCCTTCGTGAATGAAATATCTCACAAATTAGCATATCAACAAATGTAGTATCCACAAAATGGTATTATTTAGAAATAAATACGATTTTTTTGCAACAGAAGCAAGGATTTATTCAAAAGGTGTATTGATAACGTTTCATTTCGTGCTATTTTGGGGTTGGGGAGTTAGGCTAGATTTTCTTTAAAACGCCAAAATGTTATATCTATTTGCATAATAAATGTAAACAAACAGTGTACCATCAAAATAAGGTGGAAAAAATCTGAATTCAAACCGATTGGTGTAATTTTTTTTCCTTTGTATAACTAAATGACAGAATATTCTTATTTTCAAACCACAATCTTACTGGCATCATTATATTGATTTAAATTTATAGTTGAAGTGCGTGTATTTTATTTCTTAACGAAGACGTACCGGAGAAGAAAGCTTAAATTACTGGAGAAGGCGATTTTTCACAGCCTTCATCAAAGCGCCATTCATTTGCGGAAGTATTCTTAGTTTCATTAATCATTAACTTAATTTGGGGAGAAAGGCAATATTTCGAGATAAACATGCCAGAGAAAGGGTGAAAAACAGTTTCACGGCAGAATGGACACTTAATTAACCGCTGTATTCCTGAAATGATTAAGTTCGATTTTAGAGTTATACTAATGAGAAGAATTAAGTATCTATAGGATAATTGTTTAACGAAAAACTATCATACTGACCTTTTCCTCCAGCTCAAAAAATGTGCGCCAAATGTTATTTGGTAAGAACATTCAGCCGCCATCTTGTCTTCGATGCACTGTTTTACGAAAGGAAAGACTGTCCTCTCAAGGGCTACAGCGAGGCTACAATAAACTCACTTTCATCGTAGAAATACCTAGATACCTTAAATAACATGTTTGTGGAACGTAGCATCCAATACACGTCATTCAGCTCCAGAAAACAGCCTGAAAATGCTGGTACTGAACGTAAACAATTCACAGAAAATGCCTCTGTGGCACTTCAACAGCCCATATTGACGCATGCGCATACAAAATGCCCTCCTGTTAGTTCCTCCCTGATGGCAGCCTTTTTGTATTGATTATTACAAATAAAGTTGTTATAAATAAATTAAATAAATAAATAAATAAGTAACTACTAGTAAATACCAATAACTACTAGCAACTACCAGTAACTACCGAAAACTACTAATAACTACTGATAACTACTTGTAACTACCAGTTATTACAGACAACTAGTGGTAACTACCAGCAACTACTAGTAACTACTTTTTAACTACCGACAACTACTAATAACTACCGACAACTACTAATAACTACCAGAAACTACTAGTAACTACCGATAACTACTAGCAACTGCCAGTAACTACCGACAACTACTAGTACTACAAGTAACTGTTAGTAACTACCGACAACTACCAGTAAATACCAGTAACTACTAGTAACTACCGACAACTACTAGTAACTACCAGTAACTACTAGTAACTACCGATAACTACAAGTAACTACTAGTAACTACCGACAACTACTAGTAACCACCAGCAACTACTAAGAACTAACAGTAAATAATAGTAACTACGGATAACTACTAGTAACTACCAATAACTACCAGTAACTACTAATAACAAGCAATAACTAAAAGTAACTACTAGTAACTACCGACAACTACTAGTAACCACCAGCAACTACTAGTAACTACCAGTAAATACTAGTAACTACCGATAATTACTCAACTACCACTAGCTATTAGGGAGAAGACAGAATACTACATATTACACAGAGTGTATATTACCGGTGCACTTGTGGCTTTCTACCATGAAGTATATACCGAGCTTGCTGTTTTCTCGCTAAGCTTAACAAGTAACGCTTTGGTCTCCTCTTTAGTTGGTGTCTTATGGATGATTACTAGATCTGGCAGAAGGGCTGCCAGATTCTCTTCATGGGTCCAGGATCTGTATCTCTATTGATTATTAGGATATTTGGATGGGAAAAAAGTGCTTTTTAGTTTGTTTAGCTCAAGGTACACACATAATGTGATTTATTTAGGTGGCCATCATGTTATCAGGGCAAATATTAACCTACAAAGAGTGGGAGGGAGAGGTGGGCTATGAAATTCCAGCCACATTGATGGGGGAGCTTTTAAAATTTAATGACAAGAGGAGGGGGGCCCTTAAATTATTTCAGAAGTTCCTCTTAAGGTGGCCCGTTCCTATTTAAATGCGTGTTGGTTATGTTTTTGATTCGCGTTTTTCAGAACGAAAGATTCAACCGATTTCTATGATTTTTGGCATACTAAATAAATAATAATGGAAATTTAAGAAAATGTTATTTATTTTTTTGTAGGTGTAAAAACGTTTGAGATATCGGCATATATTTAAAACCGCATTTTTACGAAAAATGTGAATAACTTCGAAATCCCACGACAAATTTTTCCCTAACTTCAGCAAATAAGCCTGAGAGCTCTCTAGTTTTATATCTGCAAGTTTGAAGGCAATCGTGACCGTGGAACTCGCTGCACAAAATTCTGGTCAAATTTAACCTTAAAATGCTACGCTAACACATTTGTGAAAGTTGAAGCACGAATAGAGGAAGACTGCCGACAGACTATCTCCTATCTGAAAGGATATTCCTACCTAAAGCTTTATTGCAAGAAACAGAGTAATCGGAAAGTTACGGCGAATACGGTTAGCAATTTTAAGCTGAGTGCGCGGTGATATTAAAGAACTTCTATTCATCAAACTTACTTTGTATTTGTCCCTCTCTTTTGAAAACAAATCTTAACAAAGCAAAATATAGCATCTACGAAAAACTCTCAGGAGTTTTGAACATCGCAGGTTCCCGTTCTGAAGAGAAATAAGGCCAACAACGCCAGTACTTCTAACCATCCATTTTTCAGCTGCAATGAACCCTTCATATTTGATAATTTATTCACGCTTCTAAGACTTACCATCACATTTGCACGGGCAGTTTGCTGTTGGGGATAATGAGAAGAATAAGACGATTGTCATATTTGTCTTCATCTTTATTCCCAAGTGGTAAACTTCGCATGCGAATGTGATGTCAAGTCTAAAAAGCTTGAATAAATTACCAAATACAAGGGTTTTCATTGCAGCTGAAAAATGGATGGTTAGAAGTACTGGCGTTGGTGGCCTTATTTCTCTTCAGAACGGGAACCTGCGATGTTAAAAACTCTTGAGAGTTTTTCGTAGATGCTATATTTTGCTTTGTTAAGATTTGTTTCCAAAAGAGAGGGGACAAATACAACGTGAGTTTGATGAATAGAAGTTCTTTAATATTAGCGCGCACTCAGCATAAAGTGGTTCTTCTTGTGGTGCTAACTATGTTCGCCGTAAGTTTCTGATTACTCTGTTTCTTGCAATAAAGCTTTAGGTAGGAATATCCTTTCAGATAGGAGATAGTCTGTCGACACTCTACCTCTATTCGTGTGGCAACTTTCAGAAGTGTGTTAGGGTAGCATTTTAAGGTTAAATTTGACCAGCATTTTGTGCAGCGAGTTCTACGGCCACGATTGCCTTCAAACTTGCAGATGTAAAACTAGAGAGCTCTCAGCCTTACTTGCTGAAGTTAGGGAGAAATCTGTCGCGGGATTTTCGAAGTTATTTACATTTTTCGCAAAAATGCGGTTTGAAATATATGCCGATATCTCAAACGTTTTTACACCTACAAAAAAATAAATAACATTTTCTTAAAGTTCCATTATTATTTATTTAGTATGCCAAAAATCATAGAAATCGGTTGAATCTTTCATTCTGAAAAACGCGAATCAAAAACATAACCAACACGCACATAAATAGGAACGGGCCACCTTAAATAACTTTCGGCTTTTAAAATATTGCAGATCTGTTTTTAAATATATTTTTACCATCCTAGGACAAGAAACTGGTCCTGACCCCCCTGGAGAGAGCTGAGAAGGCAAAAGTAAGTGTCATAACTATTTTCGCGTACCTTTCAATCGTACGCGTCATCCTTACTATCTGAGAGCCTGGAACTGGCTTTAGTAAGTTCTGTGAGATATTGTGCATTTCACTTAAATGGAAGGTTTGAAAATGCCAAATTGGTAACTAAGCAGAGAGGAGTTTAGGGGCCGACCATTTGACTTTTTAGGATGGTATGGGTGATTTCAGAAAAAATATCCTGCAGACTGGCAAATATCATTTAACATAGCGAAAATGCCATGCAATCTCTTTCTCTATAAAACTGAAGAGTATTGTTACACCATACATTCTTAATCGTCATATATTGAATACGGACTACCACCATTCATATCTAGGCATCATACTCTCACAGGACTTGAAATGGGTAAATCATGTTGCGCAAATGTCCTCAAGTACTAAGTAGACTCTTGGTGTTATCAGCAGAAATTTTAGGCACACCTTCGTACGATGTAAATTTAAACTTTATTGTAGCCTAGTAATTAAGACCTAAACTAGAATATGCTAGTTCCGCATGGTATCCCTATCCTCCGAAATATAAGTATCATGATCACCTAGACATTGTTCAACGTTCTGCTGCTACATGCTGATTAAGTAATTACTCAAGACAGCCAGGTGTTGTAACCAACGTGCTGGAGAAACTAGAATGGCCCTCCCTTGAGGGTGGACGGAAGTTCTGTGGATTGACTATGTTCCATCGTGTTGTCAACAGAAATGTTGACATTGATATTGTGGATTTCACAATATCGCTGATATTGCTCATATCTACTGCGCGCTAATTCGCTCTGTACTAGAGTACGCCTCCGCTACCTTTGCTGACTTGCCTAAGTATTTTGCTTGCTATCTTGAGAACGTGCAAAAAGGGCCCTTTCCATCATTTGGCCTGGTATTTCGTATGACGCAGCACTTGACAAAGCTGCATTATCCACTCTTTCTGACCGTCGGGCAGTCTCGTGTATTAAATTGATAGGTAAGGTTCGGTCAGGTAACCCATTATACCCCATGGCCACCAGGGCTGAACGTTTCTCAATTTTGTTAGTGTTAAATATCAATCTTGTCAATAAGTAGCATATTAGTGTACATGTATACATCACAGCTTGTAAAGTATCCTACAATTCAGTCTTCTGACTGCAAAAGGGACAATAAACCAGTGATTTGAGAGAGATTTGTATTCTAACTCCTTTTTCCCACACCTCAAGAGATGGCAATTCTATGTTATTTGTAAGACCTCGCTCCAGTTGTGATCGGCATGCAAATAGCTTCTTCCCATGGTCTATTAAACTCTGGAACAAGTTACCCGGTAATATAGTAAACTTTGATGACGATGACATTTTTAAGTCGACAATCCGTAACCATCTTATTAAGCAAGGAGAGTGATTTTAATTTTTAATTTGTGAATTTTATTCTACTTAAGGTGGCTCGACTGGATTTTTTTGGAGGGATACCTCCCAAGTTTGAGCATTAATTACGTCGCCATGAGTAAAGATATGGAAAAAAGGTTTCCACAACTGTATTATATAAAGATGAAAATTTCTTATGATTTGGGTTTTATTGCAATTGGAGTCGCCATGGCAACGTAACGACGCCATTACGTTTTTCATTTATCTTTGTGTTTCTCTGTACCATGAGTTTTTTAAGAATTCGCTTAAGGGAGTTTGTACCTGCCATAATTGCCTCAATTATGGCGAAGTTTGAACAAATTCTATGAGAGCGTTTTCGAAATATTTTGAAGCGAAGTTTTAAGCATCATATAAACAGTGAAATAGCATGCTATCCACACAATTAGCTATTTTTTAAAGAAAAGAATAAGCATTGGAAACCCGGATTCATCTCATAGTGGTTTGATTCCATTGAAAACTGCCTACAAAAAAAGAGGGGAATTGCTCTGGGCGATCGCGACTAAGAAGAATTTTATTAACTTGCATTCAGCTGCTTTTGTTACAGTTTTTGCACGTAATTTGGTCCATATTAAAGATGAAACAACAACAACATGATATTAATTTTGAGGAGGACTCGGAAAAAAATCCGAGTCCCAGATGGGATTTGAACCCACGACCCTCCGTGATCTAGTAGGATGCTCTAACCACTTGAGCTACTGGAGACTCTATGGTGAGCAAGGGCCAATTTGTGGGTCTCGACTGGAACCGCATCACGCGGCTACACAGCCAAGTAATGACTGGCACACAAGAACTCACTAACAGCATCGCGCTGTCACCCTACCATCGCGCTGTCACCTGTCATGCCTACAAATTTCGCATTTTTCATAAACCCGCACGATAAATTTTTGTATAAATTTGAAAATCCCGAGATCAATCGTTAATAAATATACGCTGCAAGTTTCAAGAACGTTGAAAACAGGGAAGGCTTTTAAATAGGGCCTCAAATATGACCAATTTTTCCCCCATATTTTGTGTTTACAAGTGAGCGTCCACATTATTCACTGGCATTGTTTTCAAGTTTCATATGCACGTGCACATTTAGCAAAAAGTCAGAATTTGCATCAAAAAGGACCCCCGGTTAAATCTCTGGATTATGCTAATAACCGGGTAAAGAAGTTGGTCATATATTATAACACCACAGCAACTCTTTGTAAAAGTTTCTGTGATGTTATAACCCAAGTAAGATAATTAAGTGTTGCATCCTACAAGATGAAGGGGCCTCTCTAGGGAAGGAGGGGGGAGCTTTGGTTGTCTGAGACTGAATTGCGCAGCAAGTTTGCAATTGGGGGCGGGAGGTTCACTTCAAAGGCGTTAGCGTGAGTCCCCGAAGGGGTTCCGGAGGCATGCTCCCCGGAAAAATTGTTAAATTTAAGCCCTCTGAAATATCTGGAAATGCATTTGAAAATAACATCGTGTGGGGAAACTTATATACTTTCAACAACAAAAAAGTCGCCACGCTCGGTGTTGCAACTGATCTTTTCAAGTATATAGGAAGCATCTTTGGACGAAAGAGCAGATTTTATTTTTTCTTTAGTGAGCTCTGTACTTGTTTTTGCATCTCCCTTAGCTCTTTAAGTCAGGCGTATTCTTTCTCTTAGCAACCTAAAGGATGCTAGTTCGCCTACTCTGCGAGCGCCTTTAGTTGGTACTGGTGATCGGACCCGAAGGTATCTTGGAACAAAGCGGTTTTTAACACACCTTATGAGAAAGGCGAGGTGGTTCGAGTAACGTGTGAGCTTCTGTGAGCATCGCTCGTGCGACGGATCAACCTTAGGGCTGGGCGCCCATATTTCTGGTCAATGTCGTGAAAGATATTAATCATCGTGGATAATGTGTATAAAGGGTTTGGTTTTATCGTTTGTCTCACGATTGTCACTTTGATATTGATCGCGACGTTTCGACCGCCCACTGCAGGTCTTCATCAGGCGATCGTGTCGATTTACTGAGTCGAACTATTTGTACCACCGTGGTTGTTAGTGATTGGTGTATCACAAATCTCGCTCATGTTTGGTGGGTTTCGATCTAAAGGATTGTTGGCATTGTGAGAGGAAAAAAATGATCCCTCGGCGGTCCGCTGTCGGTTGTCATGTTGTCTGATTGTAGGCATCCAAGCTTCAGAATGTCAATTCCACTGCCCCTGTTCATCTTGGTACAAATAGTTCGACTCTGAGCTGGAACAATATTTCAAGCTGAAAGAGTCTTTGTGAGCCAAACTCAAAGAAAAGAAAACCCTGGGACCGATTTTGAAAAAAAGAAAAAAAAAACTTCTTGCACAAGTCGTCGAAGAATTACAAAAAAAGCTGGCCACCGAATAATTTTCTCTCTTAATTTTCATTTTGAACATATATAACTCTTAGATAATGCTTGCAGCATTCTTTGCTTTGGCATTTTTTCTCAACGGAATTGAAACTCCAGAATGTCAAAAAGAAATTCGTTTGATACCCCAAAAAGCCGTTTTACTGGTCTCGAGGAGGCGAAAAGGCCTTCTTCTGCAGAGACTTATGAAAAAAGAAAACAATATATACCCGTCTGCTTGACGTGTGCAAAGGAGTAATTAAAACGTTTTTTCTCCGGTTATGAAATATGTGCCGTTTGCGACGTGAAAATGCGAATTGCCCCTTCTGAGGTTGAAATGTTTTGCCCAAAATGCGGTTTGATCAAACAGAATGTTTTTTATAACAACCCCTAATGAAAAAAAAAAATAGAATAAAAACACCTAAAAACTATTATTTGCACAATAGTATCAAAATATTTTTACAACGCAAAGTTTTTAATTATGACGTGATGCTGATTTCACGGGTTGTTGTGGTTTACAACGCTTTAAATGAATTTGTCGATTCTGACAAAATACGTTTCAATAATTATAGTTTTTGTCACGTCTGGCGAAATAACCGAATGTGATTTTCTTTGGCAAATTTTTCGGTCCGTCCGTCCGCACCACAGGCATACCAATCTATAATATAAAAGTTGTCGTTACGTCTTTAACTCCGCCAAATCCATGATATCATGGGATAATCATCTATGCAAAGCCTTTTGTAGCTGTGCAGTCTACATGGCATTTGTTCCTTTTTTTTCATACTTTCAAATCCACAGCTTATACTGCGTAATAGCTAGTCACGTTCAACTTGCCCAACGCAACTAATTTTTATTACACGATACAGATCAAGTCCAAAAGGGATCCCATGACTGATTCTGGTTACACTGAAACGGAGGAGCACACCAGTAAGGTATGTCAAAAGCGTTTGGAAAGGTAGTCTGGTAGTCTAAATAGTTTTTACAATGTTAGTGCTCACTTATTTACATTTACTTTTATTTTTTAATTTTCTTTTTCTTTTTATTGTATTTTGTTTCCTTCTTTTGCGCTGGTAAAAATAGAAAAAAAATGATATCAGCGCTATAAGTAGTGGTGGTGGTGGTGGCGGCGGTGGCAGTGGTAGTAGAAGTTGACATTGAAACTTTACTACAATGTAGTATATACTACCATTATACCACTACCACTTTATTGCAATTTAAAATGTTCCGTCTCAATAGGAGAAAACACAAACGCAGTTAGTAGTAGAGCGCAACGCCCCATACTTAAAAAAAAATTAGTAATCTATCCATCCGATAAGTTTTGGTACTCACGTGACCGTACGCCCAACGGTTCGTCCGTCCGTCCGCACCAGTTGTTGGCTGAAAAGTTTGACCGGTTTCAACTTTGCGCAACAACATCTAACAATATGCAACAGGGTGTGGAAACGGACGCAACATGTAACATCCAACAATGTTGGGATTTGTTGGCCAACAATGTTGCGTCCGTTTGCACGGGGCTTAAAGGCATCAGTGAGAATAAAGCATTTTCATTCACGTGGCCAGTATCTATGCAAATGTATTGGAACAAAACAAGGCTTTAACGTAAGAAAAAAGTTTCGATTCCCAGAGGATCGGTCTGGGACACCGAGGTGGCCGACGTTTTATTGTTTTGGGACACCAAAATGGTGGACGTGACATCATGTAAAAAGGCTCTATAGAAATATATATAGGGCATCCGATTGTGCTGGTTGCTAACACACACGAGAAATCCTTACACTGCCTGCGCGATAAAATTATAAATTTACAAATTCCATAACCGCGAGGAATAGATTAATAAATAGATGATTATATTTAAGTTGCTCAATTCAACATACTATGATACAGATTAAATTTACATGGACAATTACCACAATCCGGAATAAGTACGTGTGATCAAATGGTGACGAGTAGAATTAGGGAATAATTTCACGCGCGTTTTGTCCAAATCTTAATAATTTCCCGAGCCTTCTAATGGGTGACCAATTACGTTAGCAATCTTGGATTTTTGACATCTTTATCCTGGATCGTATCGATCGAGAATTCCAGTCTCTCAAATGTTTAGACCTTAAATTTGGCTTGTAAAGCTGAGAATTTTTCAGACTTTTTCGGCAAAATACCTGTTAGAATCCTTCTTGATGTTCTCTTGTGTGTTCAGGTTTTCTAAAGCGTCTTTTTGTGCCCTGACATCTTCATTCACGGCATTTTAAAACTTCGTCGCCATCTTGACACTGAGACGTACGGAAGGGTTGCCATGGCAATTTTGTAATTTCACATGTGAAATTACAAATTAACGCTGAAATTTCGCGCCAAAATTAAGGAGTAATTCGTCACCTATGATATTAAAATAGTAACATCAAGTAGAGGGCGATTTGGGATCATCCAAATAGCAAAGGCTAATTTTGTGGGTGACCCCAAAAGAATACAAGAATTATTATTTTTATAAAAAGTGTTTCTTGTAGAGCTACGGCAGACAATATAACAATTAAGCATAGACAGGAGCCCATAGAATTCTGGCATAGAATTCTTCAGAGCTTTACGAAACAGCCTAAGAGAATGTGATTTAGTAATACAAAGAGGCAAGGAATTCTAAAGTCGAGAACCAGTGAATTTTAGGGAGCGAAGGCCATATTGGGTAGTGTTAACAGAGGTTAGGTAAAGATTTCCATAACATGATTGGCGTGTTGAATAGGAATGAACAGTTGATGTGAATTTGAAATAGTTACTAAAACACGGGGGTAACAGTCTAAGTGACCATTGATAAACAAAGGAGAAATAGGAGGAATAGGGGATGTAAATACACTGAGAACTATCAAGGTTGGAGGAATTAATGAGCCTTTTTATTCGGAACAAGAATGGCACCATAAGGAATTTCACAGTTTTAAACCCCATTTGAAATTATTGCATTTTGTGAGTATTCTATTTGTTTAATCATTCTAGGACAAGAAGCAGGTCCTAACCGATAAAGAGGGAGCTGAGACGGCAGAAGTAAGTTCGCCGAGATATTTAGTTTGCGCTTGCTGCGCATTTAAACAAAGAACCATATATGAAAAATGTCATTTGATGAAAGGATTGGAAATGTTATGTAGGTAACGGTTGCACATAAATCAAACTCACCAGGACGCGGGGTTATTATCAGTTGTAACATGGTTATGTTACTTTACAGAGTTTCGACGCCTCTTTTCAGTGGGACGCCCTGGAAGACTCCCTCTCAATACAGATAAATATAAAGTTAAAATGCTCGAATGAAGACAAAACCACTTTTGTTTGCTTAGGATTCTGTGTTTTGTGAAAGGGTATTGCCAGTCAATTACTATTATTATTATTACAAGTGATACCGGTAAAAGTAAATTATAATTATTTTATACTATATAAACCTATATCTACCTTTCGAGTTCAAACTTTAAAATAATTTGATCAAAAGTGGTTAGCTTTTTCGTCTTTCTTCGGTGCCGCATATTTATGCGACGAAGTCACGGTTCGAGGTTGTCCGCTAAAGTGAGAAGTGATTCCATTTGCTTTTATTGATATGGATGGATGAAAATTGATCGCTCTTTTTAATATACCAATCATGTCCAGTGACATACAAATCATGTCAAAGAGAAAGTAAAATCAGCTATTACAGCTGATTCTTAAGTCGCGGCACAAGCCGATTAATAAAATTAAAAATGGATTTACAAAGAGAGATACGAATATGCCCTTACTGAAAAGAAACAACAACTTGATAATAGCCTACAGACCACTAAGCTGAAACGTATGTCATGTTACAGGCCCGTAGCCAGGCTTTTTGCGGGAAGGTGCGGTCCGACGAGGAGACGGACCAAATGAGGCCGAAGAGGACTCTCTAAGGAAGGAGGGGGGAGCTTTGGTTGTCTGAGACTGAATTGCGAAAAGCAAGTTTGCAATTGGGGGCGGAAGGCTCACTTCACTGGAAATGCATTTGAAAATAACATCGTGTGGGGAAACTTATATACTTTCAACAACAAAAAGGTCGCCACAAAAAAACTTGTCTCCACAAAGAGTTGTGTAGCTTTAATAGAAGTTTTAACATCCTGCCAGCAACATAAAGAGCTGGGTCTAGCATGTCAAATCTGACGGGAATTCTCATTCTCGCCGACTGTTAAAATAACAATTTAGATCCAACACTTTGTAGAAAATTGCGGCAAACAAACCCTTAAGGGAATTTTATTGAGCAATGAAAAAATGTCTTAAAGCCCTACCAAATCCCATTTTTATGAGGTCTTTTATACTTAACGAAGGCTAAAACACGTTTTTTGGAAAGGGTGAGTCAGGCTTGTGACCTGTTTTACAGCATTTTAGTACACGGATGCTTGGTTGTTGAGTGTTGAGGTGCTGTAGAAAGTCTTCGACATCTTTCCGTTTTAAGATGGTAAAAGTGTCGTCAACATAACGTTCTCAGATCTTTGGAGCGGTTGGCGCGGATAATAGTGGCTATTCTTCAAAGTCCTCCATGTAGAGGTTAGCTATGACTGCGGAAACTGGGCTGCCCATAGCAGCGCCGTCTTGTTCATAAATCGCTCCATCATACTCAAAGTATGTGGTCCTTAAAACAAGGTTAGCAATCTGTGCAGGCGTTAAAGGAGAGAGGCTTGGGTCACTCTTTAGTTTCCGTAGCGTAGCTTTTTACAGCGCATTCAATTAGAAAGTTTGTAAATAAAGATTCTACATCAAAAGATACCATGATCTCGTTTTCATCAACTCTTTCTTTGTTCATAGTAGACGCAAACTGAGCTGAATTTTTATCCGTGTAGTCAGACCTCCCCGTTAAGGGAGCTAAGATGTCGGCTAAATAGGCTGATAAATCATAAGGAAAGGTGTTAACACATGAAACTATAGGTCTTAGAGGTATGTTCGTTTTGTGTATCTTAGGTAGACCGTAGATTCTAGGTGGTTGTTTGTGTTTAGGTCTAATCTTGTTATACACAGGTTCAGTCAGGTTACCGTTTCTGTTAAGGTCTAAGAACTTTTTAGGTATAAACTTTACAGTTCATACCCTGTATTAAATTATTATAGATAGAAATCATGTCATGCGCGCTTGATCATTTCGTGGAAAGCGCCCATTATAAGCATTAAATTATTATTATTATTATTATTAGTCAATTTTCTACTCAGACGGTCAGTGGGGTCTTTGTTAAGAAATCGATCGATATGGACCGCTCTCGATAAGAGTTTTTATCTTCTGGCGATAGGTCTCTGTATCTAAAACTAAGCTGGTGCGACCTTTGTCAACCGGGAGAACCATAATAGTGTCATCTTCCTTCAAGCTTTTCAGGGCTTGTTTAATGTCTTTAGTTACGTCAGGCTAAGGTGGCTGTGCCTTTTGGAGAAGATTATTAACAGTTCTTTTGACTGGGTCGGCTTGTTCTGTGTCAAGTGGTATTATAGCAGACTCGACTTTGGCAACTATCTCAGTGGCTGGGATGCTCGTTGGAGTAATTATTGAGAAATTTAACCCTTGCTGCAGCAGCAAAACCTCAGTCGCTTAAGCACCTTGAGGATAAATTGATAAACCATTTGTTCTTGTCAATACAAGGTGCATTGGTCGTCGAAACAGAGGACTGTTTCTCCTGCAATAGTTTATCAAATTTACGTTGTTGTTGGTCTTTGGTCTTATTAAAGACACGCTCGGTGTTGCAACTGATCTTTTCAAGTATATAGGAAGCATCTTTGGACGAAAGAGCAGATTTTATTTTTTCTTTAGTGAGCTCTGTACTTGTTTTTGCATCTCCCTTAGCTCTTTAAGTCAGGCGTATTCTTTCTCTTAGCAACCTAAAGGATGCTAGTTCGCCTACTCTGCGAGCGCCTTTAGTTGGTACTGGTGATCGGACCCGAAGGTATCTTGGAACAAAGCGGTTCTTAACACACCTTATGAGAAAGGTGAGGTGGTTCGAGTAACGTGTGAGCTTCTGTGAGCGTCGCTCGTGCGACGGATCAACCTTAGGGCTGGGCGCCCATATTTCTGGTCAATGTCGTGAAAGATATTAATCATCGTGGATAATGTGTATAAAGGGTTTGGTTTTATCGTTTGTCTCACGATTGTCACTTTGATATTGATCGCGACGTTTCGACCGCCCACTGCAGGTCTTCATCAGGCGATCGTGTCGATTTACTGAGTCGAACTATTTGTACCACCGTGGTTGTTAGTGATTGGTGTATCACAAATCTCGCTCATGTTTGGTGGGTTTCGATCTAAAGGATTGTTGGCATTGTGAGAGGAAAAAAATGATCCCTCGGCGGTCCGCTGTCGGTTGTCATGTTGTCTGATTGTAGGCATCCAAGCTTCAGAATGTCAATTCCACTGCCCCTGTTCATCTTGGTACAAATAGTTCGACTCTGAGCTGGAACAATATTTCAAGCTGAAAGAGTCTTTGTGAGCCAAACTCATAGAAAAGAAAAGCCCTGGGACCGATTTTGAAAAAAAGGAAAAAAAAACTTCTTGCACAAGTCGTCGAAGAATTACAAAAAAAGCTGGCCACCGAATAATTTTCTCTCTTAATTTTCATTTTGAACATATATAACTCTTAGGTAATGCTTGCAGCATTCTTTGCTTTGGCATTTTTTCTCAACGGAATTGAAACTCCAGAATGTCAAAAAGAAATTCGTTTGATACCCCAAAAAGCCGTTTTACTGGTCTCGAGGAGGCGAAAAGGGTTTCTTCTGCAGAGACTTATGAAAAAAGAAAACAATATATACCCGTCTGCTTGACGTGTGCAAAGGAGTAATTAAAACGTTTTTTCTCGGGTTATGAAATATGTGCCGTTTGCGACGTGAAAATGCGAATTGCCCCTTCTGAGGTTGAAATGTTTTGCCCAAAATGCGGTTTGATCAAACAGAATGTTTTTTATAACAACCAATAATGAAAAAAAAAATAGAATAAAAACACCTAAAAACTATTATTTGCACAATAGTATCAAAATATTTTTACAACGCAAAGTTTTCAATTATGACGTGATGCTGATTTCACAGGTTGTTGTGGTTTACAACGCTTTAAATGAATTTGTCGATTCTGACAAAATACGTTCCGATAATTATAGTTTTTGTCACGTCTGGCGAAATAACCGAATGTGATTTTCTTTGGCAAATTTTTCGGTCCGTCCGTCCGCACCACAGGCATACCAATCTATAATATAAAAGTTGTCGTTACGTCTTTAACTCCGCCAAATCCATGATATCATGGGATAATCATCTATGCAAAGCCTTTTGTAGCTGTGCAGTCTACATGGCATTTGTTCCTTTTTTTTCATACTTTCAAATCCACAGCTTATACTGCGTAATAGCTAGTCACGTTCAACTTGCCCAACGCAACTAATTTTTATTACACGATACAGATCAAGTCCAAAAGGGATCCCATGACTGATTCTGGTTACACTGAAACGGAGGAGCACACCAGTAAGGTATGTCAAAAGCGTTTGGAAAGGTAGTCTGGTAGTCTAAATAATTTTTACAATCTTAGTGCTCACATATTTACATTTACTTTTATTTTTTAATTTTCTTTTTCTTTTTATTGTATTTTGTTTCCTTCTTTTGCGCTGGTAAAAATAGAAAAAAAAAATGATATCAGCGCTATAACTAGTGGTGGTGGTGGTGGCGGCGGTGGCAGTGGTAGTAGAAGTTGATATTGCAACTTTACTACAATGTAGTATATACTACCATTATACCACTACCACTTTATTACAATTTAAAATGTTCCGTCTGAATAGGAGAAAACACGAACGCATTTAGTAGTAGAGCACAACGCCCCATACTTAAAAAAAATTTAGTAATCTATCCATCCGATAAATTTTGGTACTCACGTGACCGTACGCCCGACGGTTCGTCCGTCCGTCCGTCCGTCCGTCCGCACCAGTTGTTGGCTGAAAAGTTTGACCGGTTTCAACTTTGCGCAACAACATCTGACAATATGCAACAGGGTGTGCAAACGGACGCAACATGGAACATCCAACAATGTTGGGATTTGTTGGCCAACAATGTTGCGTCCGTTTGCACGGAGCTTAAAGGCATCAGTGAGAATAAAGCATTTTCATTCACGTGGCCAGTATCTATGCAAATGTATTGGAACAAAACAAGGGGTGGGACACAAAGGTGGCCGACGTTTTATTGTTTTGGGACACCAAAATGGTGGACGTGACATCATTTAAAAAGGCTCTATAGAAATATATATGGGGCATCCGATTGTGCTGGTTGCTAACACACACGAGCAATCCTTACACTGCCTGCGCGACAAATTTATAAATTTACAAATTCTATAACCGCGAGGAATAGATTAATAAATAGATGATTATATTTAAGTTGCTCAATTCAACATACTATGATACAGATTAAATTTACATGGACAATTACCACAATCCGGAATAAGTACGTGTGATCAAATGGTGACGAGTAGAATTAGGGAATAATTTCACGCGCGTTTTGTCCAAATCCTAATAATTTCCCGAGCCTTCTAATGGGTGACCAATTACGTTAGCAATCTTGGATTTTTGACATCTTTATCCTGGATCGTATCGATCGAGAATTCCAGTCTCTCAAATGTTTAGACCTTAAATTTGGCTTGTAAAGCTGAGAATTTTACAAACGTTTTCGGCAAAATACCTGTTAGAATCCTTCTTGATGTTCTCTTGTGTGTTCAGGTTTTCTAAAGCGTCTTTTTGTGCCCTGCCATCTTCATTCACGGCATTTTAAAACTTCGTCGCCATCTTGACACTGAGACGTACGGAAAGGTTGCCATGGCAATTTTGTAATTTCACATGTGAAATTACAAATTAACGCTGAAATCTCGCGCTAAAATTAAGGAGTAATTCGTCACCTATGATATTAAAATAGTAACATCAAGTAGAGGGCGATTTGGGATCATCCAAATAGCAAAGGCTAATTTTGTGGGTGACCCCAAAAGAATACAAGAATTATTATTTTTATAAAAAGTATTTCTTGTAGAGCTACGGCAGACAATATAACAATTAAGCATAGACAGGAGCCAATAGAATTCTGGCATAGAATTCTTCAGAGCTTTACGAAACAGCCTAAGAGAATCTGATTTAGTAATACAAGGAGGCAAGGAATTCTAAAGTCGAGAACCAGTGAATTTTAGGGAGCGAAGGCCATATTGGGTAGTGTTAACAGAGGTTAGGTAAAGATTTCCATAACATGATTGGCGTGTTGAATAGGAATGAACAGTTGATGTGAATTTGAAATAGTTACTAAAACACGGGGGTAACAGTCTAAGTGATCATTATTGATAAACAAAGGAGAAATAGGAGGAATAGGGGATGTAAATACACTGAGAACTATCAAGGTTGGAGGAATTAATGAGCCTTTTTATTCGGAACAAGAATGGCACCATAAAGAATTTCTCAGTTTTAAACCCCATTCGAAATTATTGCATTTTGTGAGTATTCTATTTGTTTAATCATTCTAGGACAAGAAGCAGGTCCTAACCGATAAAGAGGGAGCTGAGACGGCAGAAGTAAGTTCGCCGAGATATTTAGTTTGCGCTTGCTGCGCATTTAAACAAAGAACCATATATGAAAAATGTCATTTGATGAAAGGATTGGAAATGTTATGTAGGTAACGGTTGCACATAAATCAAACTCACCAGGACGTGGGTTTATTATCAGTTGTAACATGGTTATGTTACTTTACAGAGTTTCGACGCCTCTTTTCAGTGGGACGCCCTGGAAGACTCCCTCTCAATACAGATAAATATAAAGTTAAAATGCTCGAATGGAGACAAAACCACTTTTGTTTGCTTAGGATTCTGTGTTTTGTGAAAGGGTATTGCCAGTCAATTACTATTATTATTATTACAAGTGATACCGGTAAAAGTAAATTATAATTATTTTATACTATATAAACCTATATCTACACCGTAATTTTTAGGGAGTTATTATAACTCCAAAAATGGAGTAAAAATTTTAGGTACAGGATAACCCCTTTTTTGGGGTTATTTTAACTCCTAATTTAACTCCGAATTTGGGGTCATTTTTACTCCTGAAAAAGAGTTCTTTTTACTCCCAGTCTTGGAGTTAAAATTACTCCGAAACGGGGTTACTTGTACTCCTTACAGGGGTTGTTTTTACTCTTTTTGGAGTTAATTTAACTCTGAAAGTGGAGTAAAAATTTTAGGTACAGGATAACTCCTTTTTTGGGGTTATTTTAACTCCTCAATATCTGGGGTCACTTTTACTCCTGAAAAAGAGTTCTTTAAACTCCTTTTTGGAGTTAAAATAACTCCACGAAAAATAACTCCACTGTCAGGAGTTAAATTAGCCCCACTAGAGGAGTTATTATAACTCCCTGAAAATTACAGTGTACCTTTCGAATTTAAACCTTAAAATAATTTGATCAAAAGTGGTTAGCTTTTTCGTCTTTCTTCGGTGCCGCATATTTATGCGACGAAGTCACGGTTCGAGGTTGTCCGCTAAAGTGAGAAGTGATTCCATTTGCTTTTATTGATATGGATGGATGAAAATTGATCGCTCTTTTTAATATACCAATCATGTCCAGTGACATACAAATCATGTCAAAGAGAAAGTAAAATCAGCTATTACAGCTGATTCTTAAGTCGCGGCACAAGCCGATTAATAAAATTAAAAATGGATTTACAAAGAGAGATACGAATATGCCCTTACTGAAAAGAAACAACAACTTGATAATAGCCTACAGACCACTAAGCTGAAACGTATGTCATGTTACAGGCCCGTAGCCAGGCTTTTTGCGGGGAGGTGCGGTCCGACGAGGAGACGGACCAAATGAGGCCGAAGGGGCCTCTCTAGGGAAGGAGGGGGGAGCTTTGGTTGTCTGAGACTGAATTGCGCAGCAAGTTTGCAATTGGGGGCGGGAGGTTCACTTCAAAGGCGTTAGCGTGAGTCACCGAAGGGGTTCCGGGGGCATGCTCCCCGGGAAAATTGTTAAATTTAAGCCCTCTGAAATATCTGGAAATGCATTTGAAAATAACATCGTGTGGGGAAACTTATATACTTTCAACAACAAAAAAGTCGCCACAAAAAAACTTTTCTCCACAAAGAGTTGTGTAGCTTTAATAGAAGTTTTAACATCCTCCCAGCAACATAAAGAGCTGGGTCTAGCATGTCAAATCTGACGGGAATTCTCATTCTCGCCGACTGTTAAAATAACAATTTAGATCCAACACTTTGTTGAAAATTACGGCAAACAAACCCTTAAGGGAATTTTATTGAGCAATGAAAAAATGTCTTGAAGCCCTACCAAATCCCATTTTGATGAGGTGTTTATACTTTACGAAGGCTAAAACACGTTTTGTGGAAAGGGTGAGTCAGGCTTGTGACCTCTTTTACAGCATTTTAGTACACGGATGCTTGGTTGTTGAGTGTTGAGGTGCTGTAGAAAATCTTCGACATCTTTCCGTTTTAAGATGGTAAAAGTGTCGTCAACATAACGTTCTCAGATCTTTGGAGCGGTTGGCACAGATAATAGTGCCTATTCTTCAAAGTCCTCCATGTAGAGGTTAGCTATGACTGCGGAAACTGGGCTGCCCATAGCAGCGCCGTCTTGTTCATAAATCGCTCCATCATACTCAAAGTATGTGGTCCTTAAAACAACGTTAGCAATCTGTGCAGGCGTTAAAGGAGAGAGGCTTGGGTCACTCTTTAGTTTCCGTAGCGTAGCTTTTTACAGCGCATTCAATTAGAAAGTTTGTAAATAAAGATTCTACATCAAAAGATACCATGATCTCGTTTTCATCAACTCTTTCTTTGTTCATAGTAGACGCAAACTGAGCTGAATTTTTATCCGTGTAGTCAGACCTCCCCGTTAAGGGAGCTAAGATGTCGGCTAAATAGGCTGATAAATCATAAGGAAAGGTGTTAACACATGAAACTATAGGTCTTAGAGGTATGTTCGATTTGTGTATCTTAGGTAGACCGTAGATTCTAGGTGGTTGTTTGTGTTTAGGTCTAATCTTGTTATACACAGGTTCAGTCAGGTTACCGTTTCTGTTAAGGTCTAAGAGCTTTTTAGGTATAAACTTTACAGGTCATACCCTGTATTAAATTATTATAGATAGAAATCATGTCATGCACGCTTGATCATTTCATGGTAAGCGCCCATTATAAGCATTAAATTATTATTATTATTAGTTAATTTTCTGCTCAGACGGTCAGTGGGGTCTTTGCTAAGAAATCGATCGATATGGACCGCTCTCGATAAGAGTTTTTATCTTCTGGCGATAGGTCTCTGTATCTAAAACTAAGCTGGCGCGACCTTTGTCAACCGGGAGAACCATAATAGGGCTTGTTTAATGTCTTTAGTTACGTCAGGCTAAGGTGGCTGTGCCTTTTGGAGAAGATTATTAACAGTTCTTTTGACTGAGTCGGCTTGTTCTGTGTCAAGTGGTATTATAGCAGACTCGACTTTGGCAACTATCTCAGTGGCTGGGATGCTCGTTGGAGTAATTATTGAGAAATTTAACCCTTTCTGCAGCAGCAAAACCTCAGTCGCTTAAGCACCTTGAGGATAAATTGATAAACCATTTGTTCTTGTCAATACAAGGTGCATTGGTCGTCGAAACAGAGGACTGTTTCTCCTGCAATAGTTTATCAAATTTACGTTGTTGTTGGTCTTTGGTCTTATTAAAGACACGCTCGGTGTTGCAACTGATCTTTTCAAGTATATAGGAAGCATCTTTGGACGAAAGAGCAGATTTTATTTTTTCTTTAGTGAGCTCTGTACTTGTTTTTGCATCTCCCTTAGCTCTTTAAGTCAGGCGTATTCTTTCTCTTAACAACCTAAAGGATGCTAGTTCGCCTACTCTGCGAGCGCCTTTAGTTGGTACTGGTGATCGGACCCGAAGGTATCTTGGAACAAAGCGGTTCTTAACACACCTTATGAGAAAGGTGAGGTGGTTCGAGTAACGTGTGATGAGCTTCTGTGAGCATCGCTCGTGCGACGGATCAACCTTAGGGCTGGGCGCCCATATTTCTGGTCAATGTCGTGAAAGATATTAATCATCGTGGATTATGTGTATAAAGGGTCTGTTTTTATCGTTTGTCTCACGATTGTCACTTTGATATTGATCGCGACGTTTCGACCGCCCACTGAAGGTCTTCATCAGGCGATCGTGTCGATTTACTGAGTCGAACTATTTGTACCACCGTGGTTGTTAGTGATTGGTGTATCACAAATCTCGCTCATGTTTGGTGGGTTTCGATCTAAAGGATTGTTGGCATTGTAAGAGCAAAAAAATGATCCCTGGGCGGTCCGCTGTCGGTTGTCATGTTGTCTGATTGTAGGCATCCAAGCTTCAGAATGTCAATTCCACTGCCCCTGTTCATCTTGGTACAAATAGTTCGACTCTGAGCTGGAACAATATTTCAAGCTGAAAGAGTCTTTGTGAGCCAAACTCAAAGAAAAGAAAAGCCCTGGGACCGATTTTGAAAAAAAGGAAAAAAAAACTTCTTGCACAAGTCGTCGAAGAATTACAAAAAAAGCTGGCCACCGAATAATTTTCTCTCTTAATTTTCATTTTGAACATATATAACTCTTAGGTAATGCTTGCAGCATTCTTTGCTTTGGCATTTTTTCTCAACGGAATTCAAACTCCAGAATGTCAAAAAGAAATTCGTTTGATAGCCCAAAAAGCCGTTTTACTGGTCTCGAGGAGGCGAAAAGGCTTTCTTCTGCAGAGACTTATGAAAAAAGAAAACAATATATACCCGTCTGCTTGACGTGTGCAAAGGAGTAATTAAGGTGACTCGACCCAGTTTTTTTGGGGGGGTACCATCCTACTTTGAAGCTCTCTGGTATCCCCACCTTTACTTTTATCGTAAGTCTAACACATAGAATGGATAACATATAGATCAATCTACAATATAACATAAAATTTTTGGCGATCGGAGTAAATGTCACGTGGTTATAATGTCACGCCCCTTTGAGGTCTGAGTCGAAAATCGGCCGTTGCCGGCATTTTTTTGTGAAAATCTCTCGGCTACACATAGTGCGCATTAGTGCCTTGCGCTGAACAGAGTTTCACCAAAATCGCAAAGACCCAATTCGAGAAATTCAACTGTTTCCAAATTTAGGCCATAATTTATGCGAAAATGATAAGCAAACTTTACACGGATTATATCTAATAAACCAAGAGATTCATCCCTTTATTTTGGGCATCGTTATAACAGATGGGTCCTTGCAAGTCAGCAAAACGCTTTAGGGCCTTGTAAATGCGCGCGATTTCGAGCAAAGCAAACATATAGAAATTATAGTTTTCGCCATTTGTTGACGTTTGTCAGCGTTTGAGAGTCCTTCTCACGAAAAAAGCATTTTCTTAAAAATTCGTAGTTTTTTTTCCTTCAAATTTTTTCAGGGCCACAATCGATTAACTAACTACCCGGACTCTGAATTTCATGGTCATTGAAAAACTGTGACATTATCTTCTATAAGCTCAAACTTGAGTAAACATTGAAGATTTTTAGCGTTTTGGCTGAGTTTGTGCTTTGGGAGTTGTCTATTGTTTCTAGTCTGTCATTATACAGCATTCTTGTTCAGCACGCGTGCAATGACTACGCTAAAGTAAGTAAAGGTGGGGATACCTGAGAGCTTCAAAGTAGGATGGTACCCCCCCCAAAAAGCTGGGTCGAGTCACCTTAAAACGTTTTTTCTCGGGTTATGAAATATGTGCCGTTTGCGACGTGAAAATGCGAATTGCCCCTTCTGAGGTTGAAATGTTTTGCCCAAAATGCGGTTTGATCAAACAGAATGTTTTTTATAACAACCCCTAATGAAAAAAAAAAATAGAATAAAAACACCTAAAAACTATTATTTGCACAATAGTATCAAAATATTTTTACAACGCAAAGTTTTTAATTATGACGTGATGCTGATTTCACAGGTTGTTGTGGTTTACAACGCTTTAAATGAATTTGTCGATTCTGACAAAATACGTTCCAATAATTATAGCTTTTGTCACGTCTGGCGAAATAACCGAATGTGATTTTCTTTGGCAAATTTTTCGGTCCGTCCGTCCGCACCACAGGCATACCAATCTATAATATAACAGTTGTCGTTACGTCTTTAACTCCGCCAAATCCATGATATCATGGGATAATCATCTATGCAAAGCCTTTTGTAGCTGTGCAGTCTACATGGCATTTGTTCCTTTTTTTTCATACTTTCAAATCCACAGCTTATACTGCGTAATAGCTAGTCACGTTCAACTTGCCCAACGCAACTAATTTTTATTACACGATACAGATCAAGTCCAAAAGGGATCCCATGACTGATTCTGGTTACACTGAAACGGAGGAGCACACCAGTAAGGTATGTCAAAAGCGTTTGGAAAGTTAGTCTGGTAGTCTAAATAGTTTTTACAATGTTAGTGCTCACTTATTTACATTTACTTTTATTTTTTAATTTTCTTTTTCTTTTTATTGTATTTTGTTTCCTTCTTTTGCGCTGGTAAAAATAGAAAAAAAATGATATCAGCGCTATAAGTAGTGGTGGTGGTGGTGGCGGCGGTGGCAGTGGTAGTAGAAGTTGAAACTTTACTACAATGTAGTATATACTACCATTATACCACTACCACTTTATTGCAATTTAAAATGTTCCGTCTCAATAGGAGAAAACACAAACGCAGTTAGTAGTAGAGCGCAACGACCCATACTTAAAAAAAAATTAGTAATCTATCCATCCGATAAATTTTGGTACTCACGTGACCGTACGCCCGACGGTTCGTCCGTCCGTCCGTCCGTCCGCACCAGTTGTTGGCTGAAAAGTTTGACCGGTTTCAACTTTGCGCAACAACATCTAACAATATGCAACAGGGTGTGGAAACGGACGCAACATGTAACATCCAACAATGTTGGGATTTGTTGGCCAACAATGTTGCGTCCGTTTGCACGGGGCTTAAAGGCATCAGTGAGAATAAAGCATTTTCATTCACGTGGCCAGTATCTATGCAAATGTATTGGAACAAAACAAGGCTTTAACGTAAGAAAAAAGTTTCGATTCCCAGAGGATCGGTCTGGGACACCGAGGTGGCCGACGTTTTATTGTTTTGGGACACCAAAATGGTGGACGTGACATCATGTAAAAAGGCTCTATAGAAATATATATAGGGCATCCGATTGTGCTGGTTGCTAACACACACGAGAAATCCTTACACTGCCTGCGCGATAAATTTATAAATTTACAAATTCCATAACCGCGAGGAATAGATTAATAAATAGATGATTATATTTAAGTTGCTCAATTCAACATACTATGATACAGATTAAATTTACATGGACAATTACCACAATCCGGAATAAGTACGTGTGATCAAATGGTGACGAGTAGAATTAGGGAATAATTTCACGCGCGTTTTGTCCAAATCCTAATAATTTCCCGAGCCTTCTAATGGGTGACCAATTACGTTAGCAATCTTGGATTTTTGACATCTTTATCCTGGATCGTATCGATCGAGAATTCCAGTCTCTCAAATGTTTAGACCTTAAATTTGGCTTGTAAAGCTGAGAATTTTTCAGACTTTTTCGGCAAAATACCTGTTAGAATCCTTCTTGATGTTCTCTTGTGTGTTCAGGTTTTCTAAAGCGTCTTTTTGTGCCCTGCCATCTTCATTCACGGCATTTTAAAACTTCGTCGCCATCTTGACACTGAGACGTACGGAAAGGTTGCCATGGCAATTTTGTAATTTCACATGTGAAATTACAAATTAACGCTGAAATTTCGCGCCAAAATTAAGGAGTAATTCGTCACCTATGATATTAAAATAGTAACATCAAGTAGAGGGCGATTTGGGATCATCCAAATAGCAAAGGCTAATTTTGTGGATGACCCCAAAAGAATACAAGAATTATTATTTTTATAAAAAGTGTTTCTTGTAGAGCTACGGCAGACAATATAACAATTAAGCATAGACAGGAGCCCATAGAATTCTGGCATAGAATTCTTCAGAGCTTTACGAAACAGCCTAAGAGAATCTGATTTAGTAATACAAAGAGGCAAGGAATTCTAAAGTCGAGAACCAGTGATTTTTAGGGAGCGAAGGCCATATTCGGTAGTGTTAACAGAGGTTAGGTAAAGATTTCCATAACATGATTGGCGTGTTGAATAGGAATGAACAGTTGATGTGAATTTGAAATAGTTACTAAAACACGGGGGTAACAGTCTAAGTGACCATTGATAAACAAAGGAGAAATAGGAGGAATAGGGGATGTAAATACACTGAGAACTATCAAGGTTGGAGGAATTAATGAGCCTTTTTACTCGGAACAAGAATGGCACCATAAGGAATTTCACAGTTTTAAACCCCATTTGAAATTATTGCATTTTGTGAGTATTCTATTTGTTTAATCATTCTAGAACAAGAAGCAGGTCCTAACCGATAAAGAGGGAGCTGAGACGGCAGAAGTAAGTTCGCCGAGATATTTAGTTTGCGCTTGCTACGCATTTAAACAAAGAACCATATATGAAAAATGTCATTTGATGAAAGGATTGGAAATGTTATGTAGGTAACGGTTGCACATAAATCAAACTCACCAGGACGCGGGTTTATTATCAGTTGTAACATGGTTATGTTACTTTACAGAGTTTCGACGCCTCTTTTCAGTGGGACGCCCTGGAAGACTCCCTCTCAATACAGATAAATATAAAGTTAAAATGCTCGAATGAAGACAAAACCACTTTTGTTTGCTTAGGATTCTGTGTTTTGTGAAAGGGTATTGCCAGTCAATTACTATTATTATTATTACA